TCAAAGAAAATGGACTTTGAAAAGGAAGCATGTGACAGCCATTCTATACCCAGGAGGCACCTATTTCTGTGAGCACCTACATGTGCCCGGAGCCCAGCCCTGGCAGAGTTTCTGAAGACTCCCCTGTCCCAGAAGCTCGTGGGAGTGGTCCCAAGACCCACCGCTTCGGATTCATTCTATATAAATATAAATCCACCAAAAGAAGGGCTTTGTGATGCCTGCTCCGGAACTAGGCTTGTACGGAGAGCAGAGCACAGGTCGACCCTGGGAGGACTCCCAGGTCATTCTCTGCTTCAGTCTCCTCTCTCTCTACCTCTGCCCAATTTCTCACACGCCTCCATGGGATCAGCGCTCGGGCCCACCTTCTGTCCCCGTCCCAGACCCAGCTGCCCCTAAACAGTAGCTAAGTTTCCGGTGCTGACACCGTCCCCACCCCCTCCAGGGCACAGCTGCAGAAAACAGCCCCAGGCAGACCTCTGGGGTCCCTGGAGGCTGCAGTATGCACTGGGGAGGAGTGGTGGCATTATCTCTCCTTTGTCAAGAACCCTGCCTGTCCGGGTCTTCCACACACACCCTCCCCCGACTTGGAGCAGGAAGATGGCAACATCGTAGAGGGAAGGTGATGAGTTAGGGTTCCCTACTTCGCTCCACCCGGTGGCACTCGATAGATTAGAAGTGGACTAAAAATTCGACGTGGTGGCTCTACATTCCCACTGGAGAGGTGGGAGTATGGGGATGCCCTGAAGAATGCAACCCATGACACCTCCACCTCCAGTCCCACTCCAGTTCAGACCTAGAAACTCAGATTCTAAAGTCTTAGAGCTAAAAGGGCACTGAGGTCATACATTTCCCATTTTACAGATGTGGAACCTGAGGCCAAGAAGGGATGCAAGTTGTCCAAGATCACATAGCACGTCTTGGGTAGAGGAAATGCTGCGAGCTAGAAACCTATTTCTTAAGGGTTTCTCCAGAGCCACTCCTGGGATAGCAGGGCGTTTTTGGGGTGTGGGGTGGGCGATGGTTGTATGCTGCCAAATCAAAGAACCCAGCTAGGATATGTCCATACGAACCAGTTTTCCTTCTGATACTAGTGTAGCTTGGATCGAATCCCAGAAGCATTGCTGGGGTAGAATGGAACCACATATATTACCTGAACAGAAAGAGCTCAAATTCCCGTTTCACACACAAGGCTTTTGGCTTCAGGATGGTGTTGAGCAGTCTAAGCTGGGTGGCAAAAGCAGCCCTCTTTCTCACCTTTTGGTGCAGAGCAGAGGGAATTCCCTCTGGGTGCGGGGTTATTTACAGCTACCTGAGCCTGCTGGCTTCCTGGAACTTCTAATGCCAAGAAGCGCCATCAGATATCCTGGCCACCTAACTCAGCTTTACAGGCCACTAAACAAGGCCCAGAGAAGTTACTTTGATACACAGAGATTCCTTGACCAAGCCAGGCACTGCGCCTCAGTCCTGCCTCAGAGAGCTCACTAGCCCAACAGTCTGGGTCCAGGAGAGACAGGCTATCTGGGAACTGGTCTCCATGACTCTGTGCTGAGTGCAGTAGGTGATGCCATGCACAACGGTCTCATGGTTTTATTCCCCCCTCACTCCTACCCTCTGCCACCATGACTTTGAGTCTGCTAAGCGGGAGGAGGCCAGGGAAAGGAAACCCTCAGGAAAGAAATTCAATTTGTGTAAATCAAATTGCCTTGGGAAGTTCTGCTATTGAAAGAATGCTCATTAAGAATAATGTTTGAGAAGCCACATGCAGAGAAACATCCACCTCTATCTTCAGCCACAAACCTGGCTTTACTCGGAACACACTCCCTTCCTGCCTCCCTACTCCCTCCTCTAGGCCAGCCCCTCCTGTGCCCAGCGGTGTCTGAATGTTGGGGCTGCTATGGCGCTCCGTGGGCCTGAGATCAACTCCAGACTCCCGAAGTCCAGGTCCAGCCCATTTCCCTGTTCTTGCTCTAGGAAAAGCGAGACCTACAGAGCTCAGATTGGTTGCTTGGTTGGAGAAAGCCAGAGATGCTACAATGGTGCTGTCCTAACTCAGTGGATCCTCTCTAACCCTCATTTTAAAAGCATCAAAGATATAAAGCAATTGGCCCTTAGTTAGTCAGCTAGTTGGGTCAGAGACGATTGATTCTTGAGTGATTCCTGCACCTGGTCCAAGTCTGTTTGTAGGAATTGTGGATGTGGAAGAAAAAACGAGGAGAATTTAACCAGATTTTTCAAGAATTGTGTAAAGTGCCTTTACCAAGGTTTGTTATCCTTACCAGCGCACCGGAAGGCCAGGGGCTCTGGTACTACCTTTCTCTCTTTCCCTCCTCCTAGGGCTCAGCTTCCTCATGTGTCTAACAAGGGAAAAGAACCCCTGAGATGAGGCCTCCAGAGGTTCTGAAAGATGAAGCTCCATGGGTGGAGGGAATTATTCTGCCAGGCTCATTCCAGAGCCGGGGGAATGGATGCCAATATCCAGGCAGGCAGCGTTCAGCCTATCCCAGCCTCCCTGCCTTGGGACTCCTTAATTCCCACCTAGATAACTCTTGTAATAGTCCTTTCTCTCCAGGGGGGGGCCTGTGGGGAGGAGGTCTCTTCAAGCAAGAATGAGAGGTTTAAGAGCGGAAAAATCACCTTTCAGTCCTACTCCCTTCATACCTTCTTCTGTATGGTCTCAAATAAATCCCTGTCCCTCTCTGGACCTCAGTTTTTCCTTTTTTGTTACCACAAGGAAGAGGCTAGAGAAGAAGATCTTTAAGTGGCTCCCAGCTCAGTTCTGACTACATCCAACCTCAGATTTACAGGTAGAAGGGCATATCTGCCTTCCCCAATATACAAATGGGGAAACTGAGGTCAAGAAAAGGTATGGAATATAGTTCTGAAGGAAGGAAAGGGCCGTCAAGTGACCCATAAATGGCCTCAGAGTTGGGAGAGGGGAGAAGCCCCAGCAAAAACCCAAAAACCAGACTGAGACACCCCCAGCCTGGCCAATTTCTCAGCTCCTGCCTCTTCCCCAGCGGAGGCCCAGACTGGTGCATACAGACGGAAGTGTAGTGTTACCTGAGATACCACCCTTTCCCGGGCAGGGCCCTTACCCAACCCGACGGTGAAGAGGGGGCGTGGCTCTCCAGATTTTTAAACTCTGGCCAGCCTGGGGGCCCCCAGCCCCACCCAGGCCTGTCTCACAGAGGAATGAAATGCTTTATTGATTAAACGATTATTCAGGCGATTGAACTAATCAAAGAGCCCATCGACCGCCATGAATTACATTCTTCGTAGACAGCTTGTCAGGAGAGGCAGCCGGGCCAGCCACACAGACCCTTTATGGGACCCTCACAGGCCCCTGACCCATTCCCAAGACATCACACCCCCTTGTCCCCTGTGCAGACACCTCTGGAGTCTTACCTACTAAGGGACCCGCTGCGGGGTATGGGGGGGGGTATGGGGAGAGCAGGGGAAGGAGCAGAGGGGGTTTCCAGGTTCCCTTTCCTGCACCTTCACCCTGGGGAATCCTCTTCAGTTCCCTGCCTCTTAGATTTCTGCCTTCACTTCTCTTCAGTTATGATTTTGGAAACACGTATATGCCTAGGGAGTTTCCCTGGGCTTGAGTTACAAGTTCACCCCTCTCTCTCTCTGCTTTTTGATCTGTATTTAGGGCTGAGGTAGAGGTAGGGGCTCAGATCCATAGAGTTGGGGGAAGGGGAGTTCTTTCAGGGCCAGAAGCGTGTTTGGATGGGGATTTAGTACATTTGGCCTAATGAGTAAAAGAGGTTCCCATACCTGGCTTTTACCTCAGGGCAGACAGAGGCCTCCTGCTGCCTGTCACCTCCTCTCAGACATAAATACACCATGCCACCCCTTGCCTGGGCCTGAGGAAGGCATATCAGGCTCTGTGGCAGGAAGGTCTCTGTGCATACAGGTTCAGAACTGGATGCCCAGATTATGCACACATGTCCACCCACTTGTGCTCTCCTCCTGGCACCCGCAAGATAAACCTGAGCATACAGTACACACACACACACACACACACCAGTGTCAAAGACCTGTCTAGATAAAAGCTAAGGAAGACTGAGGGGGTTGTCCCTAGAAATGTCACGACTAGCGTACAGGTAGGCTGCCTCTTCTCACTTGTCAAGGTTGTGTCTGCAACAGGAGACACTTTTATACGAACGGTAGGCTCAACAGTACTCACAGAGTGAAGTAGTATACACCACACACTGAAGAGCTGCACACACTCCTGTTCTCTCAACAGAATGGGACCTGAGCCTGGCTGATGGTAGGCTTAGTACAACAGACCCGCACAGACCCTAGACCCATCTTTGTGCCTAGAGGCAAGCACTTTTGTAAACTGGCATGTATACAGTGAACAGCTGTTGACATCCAAAAATGGAGGGGTCGGTGTAACCACCTTATTCTCAATTCCAGAACCACTTGGGATGTGACAAGTGAATACAGACCCTTAAAGGAGTAGATGTACACTCAGACACTCATACAATATATATATATATATATATATATATATATATATATATATATATATATATGCCACTCATAGACACATTTTGGATACTCAAAAGAGCAGTACTCAGGAACACGAACTCAAATGCATAATACACTCATGAATATAAAGATACACATACACAGTCACAAAAATTTTCCAACACACACTCAGAAATTTTGATAATATATATACAGGGGCACACAAACTCATTGTCACTCATGCATAACCTGAGTCCCTATGTAAACACACAGACCCAAACTTTCAGACCCCCAGATAAACACTCACATAAACTCTCAGAGAAAAACACAGGCAAACCCTCAGACACTTGGACTGATGCAGAAGTGTGTGAACAGATTGGTGAGAAGAAACGTGCCGCAGACAGATACGCAATCCCTGCGAAAATGAGGCGCACCCCCTCCCCCAGGGCCGACGTGCTTGAGGACCAGCGCCCGGCTGGGTCTCTGAGTTAGCACGCCTCGAGCCCGTATCGCCGTCCTACCTGTCCTGCCGGTCCGAGGAGTCGGGTAATTTTTCTCTAAATCCATTTTGATTTTTCAGAACTTGATGGAATGGACAGGGGGAAAAAAGTTTCCACTTTTTTGTGCTGGTTTTTTTTTTTTTTTTTTTTTTTGGTGCCAGGGGCCGCTCACAGGTCGGAATAATTCAAGCCTTCCGCTCCCCCGCCGAGCTGGGGTAGCTGATCACTGAGCTGAAACTAAACGTTTTAGGTGGAAAAAAAGCGTCCGAAGGCACCGTGAAATGATTAAGGAACTAAAGAGCTTCTCGCCATGTGAGATCATGTCCTGTTCTCGCCAACATCACAAGATGTCCCCAGACACGCCGCGCCCCAGCGTGCTGCCCCGCACTGCCGGCCCCGAGCTGGGAAAGGGTATCCGCGCTGTGCGGCCCGGACTGCTCAGCTGGCCAAACGGGGCGGGCCGGGCCGGGCCGGGCCGAGCCGGAGCAGTGAGGGAGGCGGGGAGAGCAGCAATGCCGCCGCCGCGCCGCCCTGGACTTTTATAGGGGGTTGGAGGGGGAGGGAAGGAAGGCTTCAGACGGAGCAGGGCGCTAGCCCGCGCTGTAACGCAAAGGTACCGACCATAAGTGAGCCGGGAGCCCTGGCCTCGCGGCTGCACCTTCTACAAACTCCAGCGTCTGGGTGTCGCGGCCCTCTGCTGGGTGCGTCGGGTCGGTGACCTCTTTAGGTGCAAATCCCGGCACGTAAGCGGGCGCAGGCCGCGTTTTTGTTTTTAAAGAAATTAACCACCTTGCCAAGCAGGTGCATTTGAAAGGGGTGCAGAGGCAAGCAGTTTTGCCAGGCATAGAGGGGGGCGTTCCAGTTTCTTCAGATTCACCCCTAGGGCGGCGCCCGCCTCCAGAGCTCCTAGCCACTCCACCCCCACCCCAAACCTGCAGCTCTAAAACTATTGCTGTATCCCGGACTCTGGGGCAGTGCCAGAACCCTAGAGCTCCTAGGTCCCACTCCTGGTCCCAGAGCCCATCCACACACCGTGTTCCATTCTGGCCCAGAGCATAGAGGTTAAGCTGTGAAATGCTGGAGATAAAATCCGGGCCTCCACTTTGGAGAACCCGGGCTGAGCAGAACCGTCTCAGGAGGTCCAAGAGGTTGGCAGGAGTCCCAGATACCTTACTCCGGCCCATAGGTGGAATCCCTTTGCCCTCCAGCCCCGAGACGTTGTGGCGTCCCAGAGCCCCAAGACTTGATTTCAGAAGGGAAATCAGCCCGAGAGAGACCGGGCAGAGGGTTGGCATGTCCAGCCGGCTCCCTTCTGCCCAGGCTCAAGACTTCCCTCCCCTTCCTCCTCCCCAGTCCCGAGTCCAGCTGCTCGGCTTGGCCACTGGATGCCCGTGGGGCCCCGCTGCGAGGTGGTCACAGGGGCAAGGTTCTCGAGGGCGGGGGAGCGATCCGCAGGAGGACTCTTGGCCCGCCGGACAATGGCAGTTTCGAAAAGTGAATCGTCCTCAGCGAGAGTGTTGTTTGTTTTTTGGAGGGGGTGGTCACGAGGCTGGGCCTCAACCTAGGGGGGAGAGCCCAGAGCTCGAGAAAAGGGGGGGGCAGCGAGAACCGGACATCGCTTATCCACTGAGCCGATTTCGCCACAATCGGAAACGTGGCTGTGGATTCCCCGGTGGCCCCCCCCACCAAGTAGTCTGCGCAGTCCCCCTGCGCCGCCTCTTCCTGCAGTCTACAGGTCCGGGTCCCTGCCCCAGCGATTTGATTTTTTTGGCCATCTCCGAGCGCTCGACTCTTCCTCCGCAGCCCGGCCCAAGCCTCAGCTTCCCGCCTCCCGCTTAGTCCGCGAGGGGAGGCTGCGCCGGGGAGCAGCGGCCTGTCCTCGCCTAGAGATCAAAAGCCCTTCCGGAATTGACATTTCACCCCCAGTTGGGGGCGGGAGTTGTTTGGGTTTTTTTCTGTTTAGGGGGTTTATTTTGTTTTTGTTTTCTGTTCATTATCAGTGAGGCAGTCTTTTGTTTCGGGTGTTTTGCGTGTTGGTTTTTTGTAGATTTCATTTTAGCGGGTTTTGCTCTGTGAGCCTTGGTCTTTTGGGTGGGTTTTGTTTTCTGTTTTGTGTTTTGATTTTGCCTGCGTGTTGCACTTTGTCCTTGTAGGCTGTCTTTCTCTGTGTCATTTGGAAGGCTGTTCTTTCTGCGTGGCGTTTTGATGTGTTTTGATTTTGTACTAGTGGGTGACGTTTGTGTTTTTTGCGTTAGGTGAATTTTGTGTTTGTAAGTGTTTTGTTTTCTTCGACTTTGATTTTGGTTATACGAGCCGTGCATTTATTTGGATGGGAGTTTTGGTTTATGTTTTGGTGTGTTGGCTTTAGTTTTTGTGTTTGTGGGATGCTTTGGTGAGTTTTGCGTGTGTGTTTGGCTTTGCGGGGCTTTGGGATTAGGGAGGGGACATCGGCCACTACTCCGTTCCAGTCTGCACCCAGGAAAGGCAGAGGATTAGGCCAAGCATCAGGAGCTGAGTGTTCGCGGTGCTCCGAAATACCTGACCCCTGCGCCGCCGCGTGGTACTCTGCACGCTACAGACCAGCGCGAAACAAATGTGCGTTCCCGAGGGGGCGCCCGCCCTTATTCATAACCTCGCGGTTCGTGTGGCGCCAGTGCCCGGGTCAGTACCCCTCCGCTCACGGGGTACCCAGGCCCAACTGCCATCCCCTTGCCCACCCTGTCTTCTGTGGGTTGATCTCCCTTTGCGTCTGGCCAGCATGCTTCGGACCTCACGGACTCCCGCAGCGTTGGACCCAGGGGCAGCTTCCCGCCGCAGAGCAGGTGGCGAACCTCTTCGGAGGATCCGGAATTGATGCTGCGACCCTAGAGATACTGGGCAAGGGGCTATGGACGCGTGGAGTCTAGGCGCAGATCGGCTTTGGGACCCCCGAATATCCCCATCTCACTTGTCCGCAGCTCTAGAATCCTAGAAACCCAACTCTGCTCAGCTTTCGGTTTGGAGAGCTTGCCCTAGTTTGCAGCCATCGACACACAAATCCACACTCGAACATACGCATACACAGCTAGAGAGCAAGAGCGAGCGAGCCGGCGCCTTGGTAGCAGCGGCCTGCATGGCGGAACCAGCGCTGGCACCAACTCAAGGGCAAGCCAAAGTGTAGTGACTGGAAATGTTCCAACAGAATAAGACATTTTTTCTGTCCACGTTGCCAGAACTTCTCCAACCTCGATACACAGGGATTTGTTTAAAGTTACACCAAGGAGAAAAGGAGAGGCAAATGTAGAGAGACAGAGACATGCTGGCTAAGCCCGCGATGAAACGCGGGGAGAATCTATAGAGAAAGAAATGTGGAGAGGGAGAGAGACAAGACTGTGCGGAAAGGCAGATCGGAGGCCCAGGAAAGGGGCTGGTGCGGAGGCTCCTCCAGGCCCCCGCGCGCTCTGGCATTCTCTAAGAGGGAGAAAGCAGAAACCGAGAATAGAGAGTGACAGCAAAAGAAAAGAGTAGCGGAAGGGGTTGGCCTAGGCACGCTGCGAGCATCGCTCCAGCTAAGACTCTGAAGTCGAGGGAGGGGAGGCCGACGTCGGGAGGCGAGGAGCCAAGGTCGGGCTCTGCTACTCGGCCAGGAAATAGCCGAGGACTCCAGGACTTGTGGAGCCGAGACTGAGGCTCGATTTCGGCCCGGTGCTCCCCTCTCCCCGATACCCCCATCCTGGAATCCAGCAAAGGTTGGGCCACCACGGTCCGCCCCTGGGCCTCCCTCTGCGAGATCCCTGGGAAACGTTGCGGAAGACTGCCCCGGCTTGGGGTTCTTGGGCTGGAGCTGGCTTCTGAGGGCGGATGGGAACAGACGTCCAGGCAAGAGGCGAGGGGGAGGCCCCGCCCTAAAGCTGGAGGCCCAGTTCTGGGAGCTGCTGAGGCCGCAGCTGGACTCGTAGGATTCGGGGTCCGCGCCGCGCCGCGCACGTGGCACAGCACCTTCGGCAGGCGGCGCCCCTAATGCCCAGCCCCGCCCTGATGCGTTGGTGGTGTCTGGATGGTGTCGGGATTGAAGGTGGACGCTGAGTCGCGGCGAGTAGGTTTCTCGCGGTATAAGCTTGGGGCTTGCCTAGGGGCGGCGCCCCCGTGGTTGTGAGCGCCTCTCCACTGGCAACTCCCCGGGACCAGAGCGCAAAAACCGCGCGATGCAGGCCAGCGGCCACCTCAGGTTTTAAGGCGCCTGCGGCGGAAAGGAGCTGAGGAATGGTTTGGGTTGAGGCACCCATTTCTGCTGGCATTGGGGTCCTCTGCACATAAAGGGCTTCGAGCTCTGGTTTCTGGCTCCCTAAGACACCATGTGCTAGCGGTTTGCCACCCAGAAACACGGGTAGTGCTGGAAAACACGATGGGCTGTGTTTGGGGAATCTGAAGCTCAAGGTGGATTATTTTATTGTTGTTTTACTTTACTGCCTTTCTTGCTTTAATTAAAAGTGTTACTGAGAGAAGTCTCAAACAGTCCAGATCCGGGTCATTAGGATGGGTTCATTTCAACTGAAATCCTGTAAATTCAATTCAGTTCCACGACTGTTTTCCAGCACACAGGTACACATGGCAGACATCAAGTGTATGTGGTATACTTATGCACAGAGACGCGATATGCAGGCAACTCTTAGAGAATTTTGGTATAAAATTCAGTATCCTGGAGTTACATTAGCAATATATGAATATGGAAAACAGGCAGTCAGTTGTATTTAAAATTTGCCAACACTTTCCAGCAAGCCACTGTTACCTAAGAATCCAAAACGGGGCCTTGAAAAAATTTACTGGCACTCTGATTATCCAACACTGAAATCAAGTTTAAATCAGTTTATCTCCTCTTATATTTCCTTTTATATTTACAAATACCGTGATTTGTAAGTAATAAAATCATATTTTGCCAAAGTTAGTTTATATGCAGGATGTTTTATTTCTACCAATATTTATACAATGAATCGTTAACTCTCCCCACCCCTTTTTTCCTCCTATTTTTCCGTGTAATGTAATGTGAACTTTAAATATTCATGCGCGAACCCAGACCTGCATTTATTTAATATGTTTTAAACTAATAACATTTTAATATGATATAATTTGATACCATGAAGTGTTGGAAAATAAAGAAGCCTACTTCACAAGTGATTTCGAGTGCGTGCACAGGTTTAACGATTCTTACAGTTTTTGGACGCAGATCAGAATGTTAAATGGAAGTAAAGCGCGCCTGTAAGCAGGCCCTTCAGTTTTCCCCTTTCCTTCATTTTCCACTTTCCCGTAATAACTTCAGAGCTGTGGGAGAGGATCACAGCAGGATGGGGGTGTTTTCCCTGTGTGACCTTGCAAATCGCCAAGTGAATGCCTCAAGCTCATGGCAGGTTTTGGACTGGCTTTTATTATTTCTTTTGCGAGGAAGCCTTATGGAGAGGAAAGTGGACTGCAGGATATGAAGTCTAGATTTGAGAACATGCCTGATATAAAACCGTGTGCTCTAAAGTTCTTTCACATTTGCTGTT